CTAACTATTCTCAATGCATAACAAAGTTAACAAATATCGCTTCAATTCAATTCATCTCACACTAGCTCCTACTCCTAAAAAAATAAAACTAACTACGCCCGATTAAAATAAAACCCTTAGAAAAGAACCGCGACACAAAGAAAAACCAAGTGGGAATTATTGCACTACCTACAAAGAAAATATTTTTGTCCCTTTTTTCTTTAGACTTAAATTCCTCAAGAAAATTATCTAATAGATCCATCGTCTGGAAAAGTCCATTTTTAAAAAAATAAATATTATTCAATTAAACTAACACAGCTAAAGTAGCATAGAAAGTCACCCAGACAATCTCCTCATCCCACACTTAAAAATGTGCATTGTCCCCAATGCACACCATAACTAATAAGAGGATAAAAGAAACTCCCTGGTAGGCTAAAGGCCGAAGAACTAGTAGCTCATGGGGTACTCAGACTTTTCCCAGGCTTGGTCCTTCGTGCGGGTACCTCACACTTCGTTCCAACCATCTGGTTTGTTGTTGCATCCTTCCAATTGCTTTTCTTTCCATGCTCCTAGAAAATCAAGAATCGACACTATAAAAATAATATAATTAAAAAAAATAATAAAAAAATAAAAATAAAATTAAAAGAAAACAGTAAAGCTGAGTTGCCTCCCAACAAGCGCTTGATTTAACGTCGCGACATGGCGTGAATCACTTTTTGCCTCCACTTTGAACTTATGAATTGGACCCTAAGTTTTGATTCTGCTCTATGATCATGCTCCTGGGGCCATACAAATTGTTGCGAGCCAAAAATTAAATGATACTTTCTGAACTTTTTGGCTTTCAACCGAGGAGTGTCGTTTTGCCTAGACGGCCTTGAAAATTTCAGAATATATGGCTTATCTACCTCTTACTTTAACTCTTGCATTGGCTCATGCAAATCAATTTCCATTTCAACATCTTAACATAATGTAGAGAAGTGTTTGGAATGAGGCCTAATGCGCTCCAATACATGAACTTCAAGATTTTTAACCTCCTTCATACCAGTCACACTAGAGTCAACTAAATTTGTTTCTTCAACATCCCTGGTTAATTCTAGTATTAAATCTTCAACATCGGCACCCTCAACTTTTAGTTGGATAGATTGTTGGTGTTCTACTCTGACCTCCTCCACTAGCATCTCCTCGTATTTTTGTAAATCTTTAATTATAATGGCAATTTTTGCAGCCAATTCATGCTCTTCTTGGCTACTCTCCACAATGTAAGCTAGTTGGGCTTTACAAGGTTCAATTAGTTTATACGCTTGAGCCTCCAAGTGGTGAATAGTTGCCTCTTGCATTTGTATTTGCAATGATTTCTTATCATATAGTTATGTGAAACACTTTAATATATCTTTGATCTCCTTCAGATCAGCTTCCCAGGGTTCTTTGTTCCTATTATCCTCACAAGAAAAAATAGAACCATCATAATAAGGGGTTGGGGGGAGGATAACATATATAATCACAACCATGAAAGTGAATATTTTGACCAACACACATATCACACACATTCCACACATAAGATTGAGTTGGTGAACATAACTCGCTCTCGAAAATATTTTGATAATTTTTCAATGGGTGGTTTCCTCCACTATATTCATAAGGAGGATCAAAAGTAGAATTAACGAAATCAAAAATCTTATAATTCCAAGATGCCATGTCTCTCAAGTCCACAAGTAAAACAAACAAAATTAAAAAAAATCAAATACAAAAATAAAATAAAAGTTCAAACTTGAAACCTAGCAATATATACACCTACAGATATACCGTTAGTTCCTCGACAATGACGCCAAAATTTAATCACGCCCAACTATGCCTTATAAAAAGGACTAAGTGATCGCTGCAAGTATAATCCGGTCTAAAAGTCCGGAGTCGAATCCCACAGAGAACTAAGGTTTAACTATAATTGTTCACTATCACCAAGAAGACAAGCTTGAACAATTCCTAACTTATAGATATTAAGATTCTTGTGTTTAACAAATTAATTAACAAATTAAAATAGTAAATTAACAACTAAAGATACTAAGGGTTAAAGACAAGATTAAGGAGGTCTAGAGTTATGATTTCCCCAATTGTCGGAATCCTTCCTGCTACGTCTTCTATAATTTTGCCTAAGTATTCTCTACTGATCATAAGCGCTCTGAGTGTTCTAATTCTCTCCCGAGTAACTACCAAAATTTACTAGACATATCTGAATTACGCTAGCTGGCATTAAGTACGGCTCACTCGGATCGCACCAAGGTTTTGTTATGCCTAATCCCACCTTTAAACCCTCCGTATTGATCCCTCATATATGTTAGGAGTAATGTTGTTCAACAACTACCTAAATATGCACTCTTTCTCGAGTAATACATACTAAATTGGTATAGTCTATTGAGAGCACTTCAACTAACTACAATAATAACGTAGTTGAACAAATAGAGAAAAGTCACGACTCAATTATATAAAAACATAACAAGAATTTATCTTACAAAAGGTTTATCAAAACTCTAGATAACAAGCTAGTTATTCATAATAGTATGCATAACTACAATACTAGAATTCATAACCAATAATGAAAATAGGACGAAGGAAGTGAAAAACTCGTAAAAGAATTCTCCGCCTTGCTCCTAGTATGTTCTTGCCTCCTTAGGTCGAATCCCCGGTCTCCACGGCGGCTCCGTGCTCTCCCTAGGTCTAAAGTGTGTCCAAACTCGATCTCCCCTCAAAAGCAGCATTTTTAGGTCTATTTATATGTGCAGGAAAAGACCTAAACGTGTATACCAAGTCCTAGTCAAACTAGGAGATGAAATAAGCCTTCAAAACTTAGACTGGATCTCGCCCGAGGCTTGGTGTCGCTAGCCTCAGCCTAGCCTTTGGCTAGGCTAAAGCCTAGTTCACCCTGGCCTTTGGCTGGCCTCGCCAGGCTAAAGCCTGGTTCAGCCTAGCCTTTGGCTAGGCTAAAGCCTAGTTCACCCTGGCCTTTGGCTGGCCTCGCCAGGCTAAAGCCTGGTTCAGCCTAGCCTTTGGTTGGCCTCGCCAGGCTAACGCCTGGTTGAGCTGGCCTTTGCCCGGCCTCTCCTTTTCACTGTTCTCAAGCACACTTTCAATGTTTAAGTATCTCTTTTACTCTACTTTCATCTCCAATTCACCTACACATAAAATAGATTCCATTACGCGCAAATAAAGTGTAATTTATCAGTAAAGCATGTAAAATGCAAGACACATAATGCGTTACACCATGAATTATAGCCACACATCATGTACGTATCCCTAAAAAGTCATTTACTCCTCACATTTGAGAAGAAATGTAAGTGATATTATAATTATCATGCAACACTTAATGAAGGGTAGTTTAATTACACTAACTATTTTCGTCTAAAATTTAGTATTTCTTTAATGGGTGTGCCCAAAGCAAATTGATCACTTATTGTGGACCGGAGGGAGTAGTCTATTAGGCGGAGAGTCCATTTAGCCTATAATCCCTTCGCAAGTATAATCAAACTCTTTTATAATAGTCTTCCTCTATAAAAATATTTCACTATAACAATCAAGTTATTTTTGGAATTAATATTTTATGTTATGTTACGTTATAAATATTTTTTCAATAACAATATTTCATCGTAGGAGCTAAAAATATCCGAAACAAATGAAATTGTTATAAAGATATTTAATTGTACTGCTTTTAATCAATGAGGGGCTCAATTGGTTAATAACAATTGCACCCACTTTGAGGACCAACGAAAACTCGTTGGTTCACAACTCAACAAGTACTCTTCTTATTAAGTGGATGAACCCAGTCGGCCTATAAACCCATTAGAATTAAGCACTCTTTTTCAATCAATGAGAGACTCTATTGGTTCACAGCACAATGTATTCACTATTTTTACTATTATCTAATTGGAATAGTTTAAGGTTTAGGTTTCCGTCACATTTTTTGGAATGCGGTTTTCCTTAGACCCTGCATGAATACAAGATATTTTGTGAATTTGGTTGTCTTTTATATAATTGGAAGAAAATTTATAAACTCATCAACCTCAAAGTTAATAACCAAACAAGTTTATTCTATGAAAAACATAGATAAATCAAGTTTTGCTGTTGAGTGGTTTACATGTTTACAAGCTGATAATGAAAAACCTATATCTAATTAATAGATTCAAGTGTCTTATGGTTGTTCCTAAGATCACTTAATAACAAAAAAACTCATAGTTAGACCTTTCATAATTTTCTTAATTATGTTTAAATATTATTGTGATAAAACGAAACAGAAAGCTTGTAACAAAAGAAATAAAGACACCATTATTAGCTTGAGAATAAAGAGAGCAAATATGTCAGCTATAAGTCTATAACTATGATAGACCAAGCCAAGAAATTTAGCCAGCTGGCAATATTTCTCCTGTAAACGTGGCACCCAATATTATTTCCCAGTTGGCATGCTGCTTTCTCCTCTATATAATCATTTTTTTTGTTTCCATTTGGCCCCATAATATATATATATTTTTCTCAAGTTGGCCCTTTTGACTTTAACTCGTAAGTACTATTTTATTCAAACACCCACACGGTTTAGCTTACCTTAGCCTTAAGCTAAATAAACTCCCACAAATTAAGACATGATAAAAAGTTCAATGTCAACGCCCCTATCCCCACCTCCCTCGAAATGAGTTATCATTTAAATTTTATGAGTTTAACCTTTAAAATTCTGTATTTATATTTTTTAAATTATAATTTTAGATTTATAATTTATTATTTATAATTTTAATAAATTCTTATATTTAAATTTATATTTCATATTAAAAGTACTTGTTTCAGATGAACCAAAAATAAAACGTTGTATTTGCCTATGCTTGATCACCAGACAAATTAAACATTTATAAAATAAAATAATAATAAAAAAGAAAATAGTGAAGTGCCACCCAAAGGAGCATCGAATAAGTACAATAACTAGTAATATTCTTACTTTTCATGTATCCAAAGTCAACTCCCCCATACTTTTTGGTTCTCTATCTCTCTCTCTCCCCCTTTTCCTCTTCATATTTATGAATTTAAATGCTAAAGGTTCATCAATAACCACCTGCTATAAACTTTCAAATTTCAGTCTTGATATTTTTTCTTCTTTTCTCATAGACTTACAGCTTTATTCTCTCCACAATCCTAAGTCGAACACCAATTAGAAATGCTTCGTAGTTGAATATTCATCAAAACTGTTTGATATTTTAAACTTATCAAATAAAGGATGGGAAACGGAATTGGAAAGTTGAAGCAGTGTTTTGCAGGAGATGTTGGAGAAATCTCCAAACGACGCCATGATATTGGTGTAGACCTCTCTGATACACTTGACAAAGGATTAGGCCATTCTTTTTGCTACATCTTGCATGATTCATCATCCAAAAATCACCCTTTTTCAGAAGACTCCTCTTCTTCTACCACTACCACTATCTCCAGTGCCAGCAGCAGCAGCCAAACGACGGCGTTTCGTACCATCTCTGGCGCCTCTATCTCCGCCAACACCTCCACGCCCCTCTCCACTGCCCTCGTCGACTTTTGTCCTTCCAATACTTACGTTGAGAAGTCTTCAGCTTTTGAAAGCTCTCAGTGGTTTTCTTCTTTCCCTCTTCAGCCAATTCTCCGGAGATCAATCCCCTCTGTTTGTTCGGGCCCGATTCCCCGACTTTCTACCTCGGGCTCAGGCCCAATCGAGAGGGGATTTCTCTCCGGTCCAATGGAGCGGAGCTTCAATTCCGGTCCATTGGACAATCAGTACGATCAGCTCCAAAGGTACAAACCTGAGTCTAGTAAGTGGCATTTGGTTAGGAATTTAAAGAAAGTTTTATCAAGCTCACTTTTGGGGTTCCAAGAAATGAATTTAGCAGAGGAAAAAAACGACATTAATGGTCAAGTTGGTAACAATTTGAGTAGTGAAAACAGTTTGGCTGATGAAGATGAGGAAAATAAATTATTTAGAAGTCAAAATGTGCAGTGGGCTCAGGGGAAAGCAGGGGAAGACAGAGTACATGTAGTGATTTCTGAGGAACATGGTTGGGTTTTTGTTGGAATTTATGATGGATTTAATGGACCTGATGCCACTGATTTTCTACTGAAAAATCTTTATTCAAATGTGTTCAAGGAACTCAAGGGATTGCTTTGGAATGACAAGTTAGAAACCTCCGAAAAATTCATGTGTAACGAGACAGTTATCGTTCAGAATCAAGAATTAGATCAATTGAGCAATTCAGGATCTGATACAGTTGCTAGTATTAACCATTTGGATGTTTTGAAAGCGTTATCAGAGGCGCTGAGGAGAACCGAGGCATCATATTTGGAGATCACAGATATGATGGTGAACGAGAACCCTGAGTTAGCCTTAATGGGATCTTGTGTCTTAGTTATGTTGATGAAAGGAAAGGATGTTTACTTGATGAATGTTGGAGATAGTAGAGCTGTTTTAGCTCAAAATCCTGAATCCGATCGTTCCATTTGTAATTTGGATCGGATAAATGAGGAGAGCTTAAATAGCATTGATTCACTATATAGAGTTGATTCAGACCGAAAACACAATCTTACTTCTTGTCAACTCACTATGGATCATAGCACATCAGTTAAAGAGGTACTAATTCTAGTCCATTCTACTTAAGTCGATGTACGCTTCAGCATAACTGGTAAATTTGCAGCCATGTGACCAGGAGGTCATGGGTTCGAGCCATGGAAATAGCCTCTTGTAGAAATGCAGAGTCAGGCTGCGTACAATAGTTCCTTATGGTCCGGCCCTTCCTGAACCCTGTGCATAGCGGGAGCTTAGTGTATCGGGCTGCCTTTTTATTGTTTCATAGACTAATTCTTATGTTTGTCTGATGCAGGAAGTTATTAGGATTATAAGTGAGCATCCTGACGATGCGTCTGCTATAAAAAAGAATAGAGTAAAAGGTTCTTTAAACGTTACTCGAGCTTTCGGAGCAGGCTATCTCAAACAGGTATATATAACCTTTGAGAAATATCATTTCTTGAAATTTAACTAGAATTAGTCTTGGATTTAACTTCATTTACTTGTGTTGATTCTACAGCCCAAATGGAACAATGCACTTCTAAAGGTTTTCAGAATAGACTACGTTGGAAATTCGCCTTATATCAACTGTTTACCATCAGTTTACCACCACAGACTTAGCCCAAGAGATAGATTTCTGATCTTATCATCTGATGGACTTTACCAATACTTCAACAATGAAGAAGCAGTTGCTGAAGTTGAGACATTTATGTCTATATTCCCCGAGGGAGATCCCGCGCAACATCTTGTTGAAGAAGTGTTATTTAGAGCTGCAAAGAAAGCTGGTAAATACTAATATACTCAATCTGTACTTGTGAGATTTCTAAGTACTAATTTCTCATACAAATCTAAATCTAGAAAACTTTGTTTTCTGATATTCTAGGTATGGATTTCCATGAGTTACTTGATATACCACAAGGTGATCGTAGGAAGTACCACGATGATGTCTCGATTATCATCATATCGTTCGAAGGAAGGATATGGAGATCATCTGTGTAAATCAGCAGAAAAGAATATACTCAAACTAATTTTGCTTATTAACTTTTATTACTCCATTTTGGTGGAAGTGTCTATAGTACACAGCTTAGGCTGCTATACAAGATAGAGAGGCTTAGAGGCGGACCCAAGATTTAACCACAAGAGCGATGTTGCTATTGTTGGGTCTCGATCTTAGGTGAGTATGCTCAATGCTAAACCAGCTCAACCAACCAGCTTTCGTGTTTGAGGGGACAATTAAAATATATAAGGGGTCCTTGGTGTGTATATATAGAGTTTTTATCGAGGCTAATGGGTTCTGGTGACCCCTCTACCATCAACCTAGGTCCATCGTCCGCCTCTGGTCAGAGGTTGTTGTTTCTTGTTAAGGGGATTGTAAAGGTGCCAATGAAATTGCCCCTATTTCATTTCCAAATATAATAGGATAATTTGTAACAGATTGTGCTCTTTGTACATATATTCCTAGTTCTAGGTGTCCATTACACTGCTACCTCAATAGACTCGACCAATTGGTCAAAATTTATTTGTTTGTTTCATACTTTTGTTCTAGTTTCAGATTACTCAAATCTCGTACTTATTTTTCAGCAGTTTAAGTGCAAAACCAAGGCATAATATCCGGGGCGGAGCTAGCATAGGACTTGCTGATTTGACCGAACTCAGTAACTTTGGTCCAAATCTTATATTTGTCTTATGAAATTAAAATCCAATAACTTAAACGGGTTAGAATTCCAAATCAATCAGGTTTAAATTCTGACTCCGCCTTTACGATCAATATAACTTATCCAAGAAGAATTTGCTAAAGGAATAAGGATATTAGAATAATGGATGGCATAATGCAAAAAGCAAATGAAATGACAAAGAGGGAATGGTTGGAATTAGAAGTGCTGGTGGAACAATTTTCCTCTCCATTATCCATATTTTGTTAGGGTACTTAAATTTCAAAATAAACAATTAATTGTTGGTGTAAATTTGAAGTACACTACTGATTTGTTTAATCATGAATGATCCTAGTAGACCAAGTCATCTAACTAAAACTGCCCCGTATTAGTTAATCACCAGTGATCATGAGGCAGGTGAAAACTAACAGGAAGCGGTTGTTTTTAAGACAAGTTATGTTAGACATTAATTATACTGGAATTAATTGACTGATATTATTTTTTATTGACTATTTGGCATGCTGTATTAATCATGTGATTGTCAATTTTACTGCTTTATTTTGTGATAACTTATTCTGGGATTATTATTTTATCCTCTGGCAGGTATAAGTTATCCCAGTAATATTTTTAATCCTGGAATAACTTATACTCAGAATTAATAACCAAACAAGGAATATATCGGTACTAAATTTTTATCCAAGGATTATTTACTTATCCATCATACCAAACGAACACTAAGTGATTTGGTTATCAGGATAAGGATATTAATTACGGTATAAAATTTGAGATTATATTTATTTCATATTTGATTGTGAAATTTAGTTAATAATGGGATAAATTACCAGAATCTTGGTACCTATCGGGATTATAATCCAACGATATCCTAGTTCCAAACCAACAGAGAGAGGCAAACGCTTTGGTGATTTCTTTCTGTTAGACTAGATTTTGGTGGACTGAATTATGTGGTATATATTCTTGGCGGGTGATAGAAAATATGCAGTGAAATAGTCGAGGTGTGTGTAAACTGGTTTGGACAAAAAATATTGGTCATTAAAATGATTTAAAAAAAAATAATAGTAATCCATCCATATTATCCACTAAAATTAACTTTTTAAAAATGGGTCAAATATGGATAAAAACCATATTATGCACCTAAAATGTATAACCAATAGGTTTAACTTTTACATTTGCGAAAAAATTGAGAATTTCTCAATTTTGGGAAACTAGGTATTCTTATAAAAGTGATCATATAAAGAAGCCATGAGTAATATGGATATTCATGTTATTCGCAGGTTAAACCATTTTCTATCCGTATTAAATATGAATTAGATTACATATTTTATCCGTTTTTGTATTGTTCGTTTTCTACCGCCCGTCTGGTTAGTTTGTGTGGAACTTTCAATTGAAATAAATGCGAAAAGACAATGTGATACCACAGTTCACTAATTTGTTTATTATCGAAAGATCAGTAGAGTAAATGCTCATGAAATTCAACTTCTTGCGTTTGAAAAGATCCTCGAAGCATCTCGTCGGATTTATAGTGTATGAAATGGACAAGAACCAATTTTCAAGATCCATTGGAATTTTCCGGTTGATCAAGAAGACTTTCAGAACTTAATCCTCTGTTGCTCCCTAAATGGAAAGTAGTTGGCCATAAATGGAGATAGTCAATTAAGCTGATCATGATTTTCAATAAGTACATAGTCAATTAAGCTCATGATTTGCAGTAAACCTAATCGTTTTCTTGTTAATCCAATCCACTAATTGAGAGAGCCATATAAGTCATAGTTGTGACCTAATTAAGAAATATTGAGAAAGGAGTTGCGTATTGGTCTAGTTAGAAAAAACAGTAGCACCTGACCTGTTTGTAAATTACTACTATTATTATGCTGTATGGAGCATCATGACTAGTTAATACAAAATTAAGAAAGAAACAAATAACATGGAAGTGGTTGACTCTAAGCTAACAGACAAAAAAGCTTACATTATAAGCCAAGGTTGCTTTTCAAAAAATTATTGGGATGGTTTCATCAGCTTATAATATATGAAGGGAAAAAACATCCAAAAGTTGTGATGGCATAATTGAAATTCCTCCATCTTCGATCACGGAGCGTACGTAGAATTTTTTGTAAGCGATGTCAAAATTTATAGAGAAAAGCGAATAATAAATAACTTTAACTAAGATATATTTACATAAAAAATAGCTTTAGTCCATTGATTTTGTTGAGTTTTAAGTTAGAAAAGGTTATGAGTTCAAATATTTGCCAAAAATACGTGCTAGTTAAGGTTCGGACATGTGACGTCTTAGAGTAAAGTTACACACATAACCAAGTGCCAAAAGACAATTTATATCAAGTGGTATCATTTTTTTCTACTTATTTAATTCCTCCCAGTATTAATACATATATTTGATAATTTTTTACGATGAAGCGGTATCGTGTAATACCGCGTCGTTGAACGTGCATCTACCCCTAATTAATCAGATGTATCGAGTTCAAATAATTGGAATGCAAAATCTTTTGGTAGAGTGTTCTTGTGCTTTTAGCTGGCTTACTTGACATGAATTTGGATATATTAACGAGACTAATGAGTTTCGAATATTGAATACCTAAAGCAAAATAAATAAATAAGTAAAAAAATAAAGGGAAGAAATATAAAAGAAAGGAAAAAGTGGAGCTGGTTAGGTTTTTCATGCCATACAAGTATAAAAACGTAGCAATAGCATGCATGAACATGGAGGGGTAAATTAAAATTCAGCTACGTGAAAGCTAAAGATTATTGGACAGTTGCTTGTAGTTTTTGCATCTCGAAAATCTCGTGAACTTATTTATAAATATTATAAAGTTTTAAAATTAATAAAGTTGAAAAAACTCAAAATAATAAATGTTCAAAGTACAAAGGAGTTGGTTTTGATTTTTGGACTATCACTATCACACACACGAACCATCATAGAGATGGTGATGGTTTCACCTAAAAACAGTCAAAAGAAGATTTTTTTTTATAGAAATCTAACAAATTATATGCTTTCTAAAGTATTTCCAAGTGTTACCTATAAGGCTACAACTGATCCCAAATTTTTTGGTCGAGGATTGAAAAAAATGAAAATTCTGAAATCTTGGACTAGATTTGAAGGTCAAGAGAAAAGGATAATTCCTATGAAGGGAATCAGACCTTTAAAAATATCGATCAAAGAAATTATTACAATTTTTTTTTTTTTAGTTTCATAATTTTCAAAAAAAGTGATGAAGTACAAAGTCTACCACTATTAATAAACGAATTACATCAAACAATAAATGAGATATAGAGCATGTTTAATCGATCACAGATCAAACTTCAAACTTTAAAGTTTAAATTACAACTTGTGCATATAAGATAAATAAAATCAAAATCCATTGTAAAAAATGCTCACCACCATCAAGTGATTGTCAACTAAATCTAGAACAATTGTTAAAACGTAAAGGTACATTTTGTATTATGAAACTACAAAGTTATATTCTCTCGTTGAGATTCTACAAAATGAAAACGATTTAATCTTCTCCTATCCAAGATGGATTTTGGTTTGTATACACATTAATTAGTGAATCAAATCAAAGATTATTTTGGATTTGTTCGATTCAAATTGCAAAGTCAGACAAACATTAATCGTAGATATACACAGCTATTTTATGTTAAGGAAACTCCTAATTGGTTTAATTTAAAGGTTGGAAGAACCAAATCTGGCATCCACTTTATAGAATATCATACCAACTCTAAAAAATTAGCACTTGCTGCCTTAGCATTTATACTCTATCTAGTTTAATAAAATTGATAACTTTTCATGTAAACATCATCCAATATTAAATGGGATTGTTCATAAAGTGGATAAGCTAGGAAAGTAAAATTGTACGGGCGCCCTATTTAGTTGCCCCCATTTAACATACACCCATTTTTTTTAAAACTTTTAACTTGTACCTACTTTTTAAATAATTTCAGCCCCCGTTCTCCTCCTCCTCCTCCTTCATTTTCTTCTTCTTTCTTCTGCTGCTGTTGGTGCAGATTATTTCTTCTCCGTTTTGTCTCAATTAATATTCTTTTACGTAAGCATAGTTATGGATTTAACTTAACAGTTTGTTCAGATTTTTCATGAAGTGGAACGAGTCATCTATTTAGCTAAAAATGGCAACCTGTGATGAAGTAGAATGGAGTAACATATTTGAAGGGAAGATATACATACACAAACACAACTATGACAAGTAGGCCAAGTAATTTGTAGCAACTTTTCGCCTAAATAAAGAACCACGATAATTAAGGATAAATGACAGATTAACTACTCTCATCTTGACTACAAAAAGTACAAAGAGTTATCCATATGAAATCACCAGTGATTATAGCTGTCGTTGCTAAGTACAGAAAAAGCAGTCAAGTGATTAAAAAAATTCCGACTCCAGAAGAGGAGAGCCAAGTAAAATATTAATAAAAACAATAACTTCAGCTCTAGAGCTGAAGTTCGACAGTTACAAAACAAAAACTTCAGCTCTAGAGCTGAAGCTTACAAACAAAAAGCCAGTTACAAACAAAAACTTAGCTGAAGTTTGACAGTTACAAAACAAAAACTTCAGCTCTAGAGCTGAATCTTACAAAGAAAAAGCCAGATACAAACAAAATCTTCAGCTCTAGAGCTGAAGTTTGACATCTACAAAATAAAAACTTCAGCTCTACAACTGAAGCTTACAAACAAAAAGCCAGTTACAAACAAAAACTTCAGCTCTAGAGCTGAAGCTTACAAACAAAAACTTCAGCTCTAGAGCTGAAGCTTACAAACAAAAACTTCAGCTCTAGAGCTGAAGTTCGACAGTTACAAAACAAAAACTTCAGCTCTAGAGCTGAACTTCAGGCCCGGCTACTAGAATGCTGAAGTTTTGCGTGATTGTCTTTGCTACTTCAGCCCCATATGCTGAAGTTATGTGAAAAAGCGGGTATGCTTGCAATTTGTTTTGCAAAACGGGCACAAGTTAAAACGTGACACAAAAAGCGGGTATAGATCAAATGCCCCGCTAGGAAAACAAGAAAGTATAGCGTTTTAGGTTCTTTATCTAGACCAACTCGATTTATAAGGTTTTAATTTTTTAAAATTAATTTTTTGCTACAAACATAAATAAGTTAGTTGTTTTGGACGTATACAACAACAATAACCCAGTAAATTTTTATAAGTGGGGTCTGGGGAGAGTAGAATGTATGCAAATCTTACTCATATCCCGGAGGGATAGAGAAGCTGTTTTCAAAAGAGCCTCGGCTCAAGAAGAAAATCATAATTAAATTATGTAACAAAAAATACATCAATTTTCCTCATGTTCTTTGGAAATTCATCAATTTAGAGTCAGAAACTACAAATAACTTGCCACATAGGATACAATTATTAAATAAGCACCCTTCACGTCATCAATTTAAATCACCTTATAAACAGTTCGACGTCGTTCAACAAAACAAAAGACAAAAGAAATAGGTATAGTTAATTATAACAAGTAATATCTGAATAGAATTGTTTACCCTTAAAATCGGATAACAATTAAATTTATAAGTGGTTTTAAAGATATATGTGATTTTACTTAGCACAAAATGATAAATATAAGAATTAGTGCTAGGAATTAACAGTAAAACAAAGCAAACCAATGTGATGAACAATGATGGCCCTCGAACTAATTACCCTCGAACCAACTGAACAAACTATTGAAAGTATGAGTTGGACAACAGAGCTTGCAAAAGATAAAAATATGATGTATTGCTTTGTTACATGTGAGTGTAAGGTCCTTACAAATGGTTAAGACCCTCTTTATACAGTAGAAGAATCCTATTTACGGTATAATTCTAATTACAAAGGAAATTCCATGATTAGCTAAACAACAGTTCTTGATTTGATATGTTCCAAAATTTCCGCCATGACTCGACCAATCACGGATATCTCACCTTTCCGTTATTGTGCTATCTTCGGTCTTGCTCGATGTCTATCCCATTCAACCTCGATCATTACTGGTCTCGATCTCGACAAGTACCTCGAATCTCGAACTCGGTACTTTATCCTCGTGTCTCGGTCTGATATGCTACGGGGCCAATCCTCGATCCATCCCCCTGGTCTCGATTAATCAGTAAAATCGGATGGGCCCGATTTTAAACTATACAGATAGTCCTCTTGTTTTTTGGAGTATAATGACAAGAAACGAATTGAGTCCTCGATCTTTAACCCGATTTGTCATGATGTCATTACCATGACGTAAGCGACAAAGGTGACTGAAACCTCCCATCAATATAGTTCTCTAGGCTTTAAATGTTTGTCAGTTGACGGTCGGGCACCACTGGTACTGAGCCGTCGCCTTCAGCCTATAAATGTACACTCCTTCATCTTTCAAACGTTACCTTCAACTCTTTCTCATTCCAACTTTCTCAGTTCTTCACCTTCCTCAGATCTTTGAGTTTCCAATTCCTGGGATTTCTTTACTCGTTCCATTGCAAAATACTAAGTATTTCTCTTTGTCTTCCGCTTTTCTTCATCCATTACATGGCTAAAACTTCGAAAATTGTTCCTCAAAAGGAAAAAACTTACTCATCAAGGCCCGTCGGCGAGGAAGCCGCGGCGGAGTCAGGCCCTAAAAAATTCTTTCCTCCGTCGTGCGTCATTGATTCTGAGTTTAAGATTGAAAAGACCTCCTCGGTGCCAGGCCGATGCGAGCTGGTATCAAGGTACATATGATCGATCTCTGATAAACTCCTTTCCCAAGTTAAGAAGGAATGCAAGTGGGGCAATAAACATATGGTGGTGCCCACTCCTGAAGAATCGATTACCACTCATGTAGAGAGGTTCTTAAGTGTTTATACCTACTCCTTCAAACTGGGTCCTATAGATCCAATTATCTAGACTTCTACAAGAAGTACGAGTACAAGGTCACCCTATATCAAATTCATCCTTTTATTTGGAGGATAGTGATACTGCTTCGATTTTTTGTGAGCAAAGTCGAGGGGCTTCCCTTCACCTTCGACCATCTTGTTCGCCTGTATAGCCCCCGACTTTATCGGGGAGGATTAATAAAGCTTCAGCGTCGGTCCAACAAGATACCTTTCTCGAGCATAGTTGAGGACATAGATCGGGGTTGGATGGGCCAGTTTGTTCGAGCGAAGACCTCAGACTTAATACCGCCCGACAGTATGCCCTTTCCCGAGAAGTGGAATATGAAACATATGTATAATTTTGTTATTAATTTCCTGTTAGTTGCCTTCGTTTCCTTATTAATGTTTTACTTGGTGTAGTCGCTGCCTGGATGCCAGGAAAGGTTCCCCATATCGAGGGCTGGGTTCAGAGCCTGGTAACACAGTCGACACACGCCAAGCGTGATTGGCGCGACTTATCAAAGGGCCGATGGGAGGCCTGTAGCCATGGTAAGTTCCTTCCCTCAACTTAATTATTTGACCGCTATTAAGGTATTTCTCCGAGCTTACTTGTTTCTCTTTTTTTGTAGGTCTTGGGAAGGAGGTAATGCTGAGGCCCCCATTTGGTAAAGAAGAAAACTCACTTCCTGCCTCGAAGCCGGCAAAGGAAAGCAAGATGAAAAGGGCTTCGACCTCCAAGGGGCCATAGCCTAAGAATAAAGCGGCTCAAAAGTCCAAGAAGGATGTGATTTCCCTGTCTATGGAGTCAGTTAAACTCCTAAGAGATAAAGAAGAAGAAGAAGAAGAAGAAGAAGAAGAAGAAGAAGAAGAAGAAGAAAATGAGGATGATTCCGGTCTGGTGGCTCGAGCACGAGCTAATACCGAGGGTCAAAAGGGCACCAGATCAATCAACAACAACAACAACAACAACAAACCCAGTTTGATCCCAACAGGTGGGGTCTAGGGAGGGTAGTCTGTACGCAGACCTTACCCCTACCTAATGTAGGTAGAGAGGTTGTTTCCAATAGACCCTCGGCTCAGAAAGGACAAGAAGAAAAGGAAATCAAGGAAGGAAGAAAGAAGGAAGAGAAAAGAAAAAAGGGGGGATAAGTAGTACCAAATAATAGCAGCAGGGAATACAATACCTGAGGCGAACACAACCACATAACATAATAGAAATCTAAGAATATGAAGGGACATGCATGCTCCTAAGACTATCGGTGAACACCTATAAACTACCTACTAACATTCTACCTTGATCCTCGACCTCCACACCCTCCTATCAAGGGTCATGTCCTCAGTGAGCTAAAGCAGCGCCATATCGTGTCTAATCACCTCTCCCCAGTACTTCTTATGCCTACCTCGACCTCTTCTCAAACTCTCCATGGCCAACCTCTCACACCTCCTGATAGGAGAATCAATGCTTCTTCTCTTAACATGTCTGAACCATCTCAGCCTAGACTCCCGCATCTTGTCCTCCACCGAGGCTACTCCCACTCTGTCCCGGATAGCTTCATTATTAATCCTATCTCTCCTGGTACACCCCACACATCCATCTCAACATCCTCATCTCTGCTACTCTCATCTTCTGCAGGTGGGAGTTTTTGATTGGCCAACACTCAACCCCATACAGCATAGTCGGTCGAACCACCACTCGATAAAGATTACCCTTAAGTCTTAGCGGCACATTCCTATCGCACAAAACACCGGAAGCGATCCTCCACTTCATCTATCCTGCTCCGATGCGATGTGCGACATCTTTGTCAATATCCCTGTTACCCTGGATAATAGACCCGAGATACTTAAAACTCGTTATCTTGGGGATAACTTGAGCATCAAGCTTAACCTCTACATCTGCATCATGGGTCCCGTCACTAAATTTGCACTCCAAGTATTCTGTCTTGGTTCTACTCAGTTTGAAACCTCTAGACTTCAAGGTCTGTCTCAAAACCTCCATCCTCGCATTAACTCCGCTATGCGTCTCGTCAATCAACACTATATCATCGGCAAATAGAATGCACCAAGGCATCTCCCCTTGGATGTGTCGCGACAATACATCCATTGCCAAGGCAAATAAAAATAGGCAAAGAGCCGATCCCTGGTGCAACCCCATTACCACAGGGAAATGCTCCGAGTTACCCCCACAGTTCTCACCCGAGTCTTAGCATCATCATATATATCCTTAATCCCCCTAATGTACGCTACCGGAACGCCACTAACCTCCAAACACCTCCACAGGACCTCCTTCAGGACTTTATCGCATGCTTTCTCTTGGTTAATAAATACCACATGCAAATCTTTCTTCCTCTCCCTGTACTGCTCCACTAATCTCCTTACCAGAAGAATCGCTTCCGTAGTCGAACGCCCCAACATGAATCCAAACTGATTATAGGGTCAGTTAGAGTTCCTGAGCCAACTGGAGCCAAAGGTACTTCACCTCGGAGTGACAAGGCATCAGAAACGACGGTGGATGCCGGTCCCGAGGTTCCTCGAAATGGGGAGAACGCCCCAAGAGATCCACTTGGGGTAATACAAATCGAAGATTCCCCGTTGCTTCCTTCATTCTCCGAAGAGGATGTTCGAGAGGCTTGGGCCATGAATACTTCTCATGTAGAAGTCGCCTTCGGAGGGGAGGACCTTTTCCGTGGTCATTTCGCTGGGGTCGATGATGCAGCTGGCTTGAGTGACTTGAAGGTACCGAGGAAGATCTTGGGCGAATCTTTCTCGAGTTTCAAATTGACCAGCCAGTTTTCGTCCCCTAGAGTCAATCCCGAGTGCAAACAAACAATCATCATTTTGATCTTGGAGGATGCACGAGTTTTTACCGCCCCCGTAGGGGTGGCTAGTTACCTTCAGAGTATGGTCACGGAAGAACACCAAGCTCTGATGAACCAGGTAGGAACACCGTGTCTCTTCAATGAGTCCCAGCAGGCTTTGAATCGGGTAAGCCCTAACTTTTCTTGTCAATACCAGTTTCCTTACTTATGTTTTTCTCTTCTTGCCTAATTCTTTTTCTTCTATTTGTGTAGGCCTCATTTCTTCATCATGAAGCTTTCTTTAGGTCTCGAGGAGAACTGAGCCGATATGAGGCCGAAATTCAAGGGCTTATTGAGGAGAGAAGCACCCTCAAGCTTCTCGGTGGGCAAAAAAAGAAGAAATCAAGGGCCTCCGAGTAGAGCTGGCCACGACTCAGAAAGAACAGAGCGAACTGACCGAGTAGGTAATAAAAGTCTTAGAAGCTCATGGCATTTGTTCGGGAGTGATGGATAATAATTCAATCTCATAGGTCCAGCAGCTGCACGAGATGATCGAGCAGCTCCATGGAGAGGTAGATGCGGTGAAGGCAGAAACCATAACGTGGAAGCAAAATATGGACCACCTTGTCTCAAAGAAAGAGACTTCTCAAGCTCAGTTATCCTCGGCTGAAAGTCAGCTTCAAATCATAAAAGAGAAGAACTTGGCATAAGCCAAGAAAATTGAGGAGCTCCAAGCTCGGTTGGTCACAAAACTTGCAGCGACCAAATCTAAGGCTGATGTTGAGGCAATCATGGTCGTCTACTAGTCCGGCGTCAAAGTCGCTCAAGCTCGAGCGAAGGAAGTTGTCGATACTGCTCATACTCGAGCATACTGGGTTGCCGAGCATGCCAAGTGCTAGTCTTGAAGGGAGACTCTCGAGGAGCTCCATGCTCGTGGCTTCGATCTCACTATCGAGATCAAAAATGCAAAAAGCTTAAAGCCGAAGCCAAAGCGTTGCTTTCTTCTGATGATGATGATCCGGGACCCTGAGGGTGAAGATATTGCTCCTGGAGAATATTAAGTATTTAGGATCATTTTTTGTGGAGTTTTTGCATAGAATTCTGATCGGGCCACGTTGCCCTTGTAAATAACTTTTGACATATATGAAGATCTTTCTCTTTCTGTCTTGTCTTGTGAAATTTCATTTCATTTATGCCTTATGAAATTTGTGCCTCATTTATGCCTTATGAAATTGCTATTCATAGGTTCGAGGTTTAGGCAATTCGACCGAAACCGAACTAGCATAGTTTTTATCGAGTGAGTGCTTGCTCAGACTAGAAATAAGGTAACCCTTAAGTTTTATTTGAACGAGGACGATCTTTCGAACTCAAAGCAAATGATATCCCTTAGGCTTTTGTATTAGGCCGACATGGCTTTTGTATAAAGAATGTTTATGGCTTTTTTCCCCTTTTTTGGCTTGAAAAGTTTTTATCATTTGCATTTGCAAAATCTGTAATGCCTTGGCATGAAATAAGGGATTGTTCGAGAGTTCGAATAATATTGTACTCACTAGAGTTTTTAAGGCTTGATATTATCAGAGCCCTTTTTATTTTTTTTGAGGGTAGCCCTTTTAACCGGTTTTTGAAAATATTTGAAGGCATGTTTTATTACGAAATTTGGACGTCTCCGAATCGTGTTAATTTGGCCGTAGCCTTCTTAGTTTGGTATTTTCCTCTTGGGCTTGTTTTCCCGTTATACTTCGAACTTGTTTGAAGTTTTAGTTCTCGAGTGAGGTGGCCGTGGCCTATAAAAATCGAGGGTTGCCTTTAAGGTCTTATGATTTCGAAGTCGGGTTAAGATAGCCCTTGGGCTTTTATGATCGAGTGAAGACTTGCTCGAACTCGAAGTAAAAGTAGGCCTTAGGTTTTATATTCGAGTGAGGATTTGCTCGAACTTGAAATAAAAGTAGCCTATAGGATTTTATGATCGAGTGAGGACTTGCTCGAACTCGAAGTAAAAGTAGGCCTTAGGTTTTATATTCGAGTGAGGATTTGCTCGAACTTGAAATAAAAGTAGCCTATAGGATTTTATGATCGAGTGAGGACTTGCTCGAACTCGAGATAAGGTGGCCCTTGGGCTCGATAGGTAGTCCCTGAGTGAGAATTTACTCGAACTCAGGTTAAGATATCCCTTGGTCTTTGTAGTCGAGTGAGAATGATTTCTCGAGCTCGAAGTAAAAATAGCTCTTAGGCCTTCGTATTTTTGCTTTCCTTTGTGTTTTTCTCGAGGCCATTTTGTTATGGGTTTTGGACACCTCCGAGCCATGTTAAATTGGCCGTAGCCGTTGGTTCGGGTGTATCCCAATAAGCTTGCTTCCCCGAGTTATCCAGGCATGCATAGGATAACAGTCCCCGAGTGGGAATGGCCGCGATTTTATTTTTAAAAAAATTCGAGGGTTTCCTAAAAGGTCTAATGCCCTCGACACTCAATAGTTCGATATGTTCGAATATTATTTTTCAAACGGCAGTCCCGGTGTGTAGGGGTGAATATCCGAACTCTGGTTAAGATTGGACCTTAAGCTCGTTCCCATAATAGATTGAAAGCATGGAATTGTAAAGTAGAAAAACTTTTTCTATGACATGAGATAATTGCAAGGGGAAAAAATACTTCTCTATTCTTGAGAAAACGATGTTTTGAGCCAGGGCTCGAAAAACCTATGTAGGCACGGTTCGCTCGATCGTTTGGCCCTATCGAGACCCCGTCATTATGAAGTAATTCCCTCGCAATATAGTCGACATCTAAAGGCAATGCCCCCAGTATTCAAGCTTTATTGGGCAACCTTGAATACTGTTAAATGTTGTCTTTGACACCGATTCGTGGTCGGCCTTCAATTCTAAGTTAGCACGATCCGTTGTTGCCTCATTAAAAACCTTGCCAAAAAACCCAATTGGGATAAAACGGTTCAAGGGAAAAAGAGTTCAACGCGTGCTTTATGATCCAAAGCTTCGTGTCGCTCTTTACCGATAACCTGCAAGTGTTAGTCGAAAAATGGAAAGAATTGAAATGGGTTCGTACCTTCATTAGGATTTTGGATGTTTAATGTGACCTTCCTCAGTACCATGTCCCTGTGAACTTTCACCTCGATCATTTCTCCTCTTATTTTGTGTGAAACTTCGCCCAGACCCGCTGCCTTTACGGTCTTTGTTGTATGGTTAATATCGATCTATATTCGACCTTGGCTCTTGATCGATATCCCTCTTGATTCTATCCATGGGCTTGTTAGGATAAATGGACCCAAAAAGAGTCCCTAGTTGATCATTCTCAACCCAGATCTTCGACTGATATCGATTATGTACGTTGACCCAAGTGACAGCTGGGTGCTCCATAAAATTTTGCTTCAACTGCTGTGAAGCTATGGAACTCCGAGTGTTGAGACTTTGAATGAAAGCTTGAACAGACCATTCGGTGACCGGAGGCAAATCCATTCTCTCCGCTTGGAACCGAGATACAAATTCACTGAGCATCTCGTTATCTTTCTGCCTTACCTTAAAGAGGTTCGATTTTCTGGTAGTGACCTTAATGGCTCTGGCATGTGCCTTGACGAAAGCATATGCAAGAATAGCAAATGAATCAATAAAGTTAGGTGGTAAGTTTTGGTACCATATCATAGCACCCTTCGATAGAGTCTCCCCGAATTTCTTCAGCAACACGGATTCAATCTCGTCATCTTCCAAATCATTTCCCTTGATGACGCATGTATAAGAGGTGACATATTCATTTGGATACATCATCCCGTTATACTTCGGAATCCCGGGCATACTGAACTTCTTTGGGATTGGCTTCAGAGCCGCACTCGGGGGAAAAGGTTTTTGGACAAACTTTTTTGAATCAAGTCCTTTCAATACCGGTGGTGCTCTCGGGATTTGGTCAACCCTGGAATTATAAGTTTCCGCTTTCTTATCGTTTTCCTTGATCTTCTTTTCCCCATTCTCGATCCACTTAATCAGTTCCTTGAGCATCTTCACGATAGCAGGATTGGTCTCCGATTCTCCTCCATTCGACCTTTTTGGCACCAACTCGGCACTATGAACAATTTCTTGTGATGACTCGATCTCAATCCTGCTTGGTGCACGATTCTGATTTTGGAACTGTGCTATTACAACTTGTTGGGTCTGTAACATTTCGAATACCATTCGAAAGCTAATACCACCATCTTCACTGTCCTAGGCGTTCTGATTTGTCGTTCGAGCAGCTCTGCTAACGTTGTTTTTAGGGTCGATGCCTAAATTCCCATTAATGGTAATATGGGAGCTAACGTCGATTGGGTCCATGGCCGGAGCACTGTCGGGGTTGACTGGGTCCATGGTTGGAGCGGCT